AATTCTTTCTTCAAACAGGTGCGGCTTCCTTTGTTTAATTTTCTAAAAAAATATAAAATAACTCTTGTCAATGTTAGGGAGCAAAATGATTTTATGCTCCCTGACATTAACTGCTCCATACTTACTCGAGTCTCTAGCTTACAGCTAGACGAAACTTCATTGATTTCGTATGTACTGTGCTACACGCACCTTCACGCACCTAGAACTCATTTTTAATAAATTTTATAAATATTTTTAAGAATATTTTATCATATTTAGGATGAAGCGTTGCTTGTCTGGATTAGATATTTCAAAATTTCATTTCGGAGTTTTGACACATGGTGAAATTTTCTCGCTGTAGCTAAAAATGGCTTCCGGTTCTGGACGTGAATAACATTTGAAATTATTCTCGCTTAAAGAAATCAAATATAACAATAGATTCAGACGGGGATGTGAGCTGATGTTCTTCAAATCTATACATAAAGGTATATTTCATATTATTATGCCATATTTACTGTGCGTGTGACACAATGATTTACAATATTTATAATACTAAGGCAGCTCAATCTTCCTCCTCAAAGCCGGAATATAGAGAAGGCTTTGGACCGAAGTAACTCCATACAATTGACAAGATTTATTTTATATTCTTTTTTAGAAAATTAAATAAAGGAAGACGTACTTGTTTTAAGTAAGAAGCTCGATTGACATTGTCATTGTCTGACGAAATCATCGCTATTGTTATGGATAACTCATTTAATATATACCTGCTACTATTCATATTCATATTTAAATGAGTTTGCCCTAAAATAACGATTAATCCGTCTGCCAACAACTGGCGACTGAATTCGCGAAAGCTAGCTGAATGTTGTTTAAAGATTTTTACATTTCAAGATCAATGTTTCATTACAACTACATATATACAATTGGTATTCATTTTCAAAAAAGAGATAGTGAGGTTTTCAGAAGTGCTGAACTTATCAAGTTAACCTCATTTTCTAATATATTATTTGGACATTTTAACTGTCACAACGATAAAGTTGTGCCATATTGTTATACCCACCGTTTTCTTGACTTGCTTTCGGCGTTTTTTAAAGCTTCGGAATAATAAAATCCTAGTAAGAAATCAGGAATAAGCCATGAAGGAAAATGTTGTGATCTAGCCTTTTCATGTTGAAATAAGCCTTACATTTCAGGTGCAGTTTGCACTGAATGCGATTTCTGAAGAGGTGCTGTGTTTTGATTATCTACAGTACTGTAAATAGGATATTTTTTAAATCTAGACTTACTTTAAAAATTGATACAAGCAAACACGATTTGTAATACATTGGATGTTTGAATTAAAGTTATTACTTGCGCTGAAGACCGAGTATTGGTTCAGCACGCCACGACGCTCTCTGATTGAACAGTGGTAATTAATAGTAACACGGGACAGGCATAAATTGGCCGTAGCGCGATGCTATTTATAACATAGCGCAAGTATCTATGCTCTGAGTCGCAAACAGAGTCGCGCTGAGTCGCTGAGAGAGTTTGAACACAGAGAGTTTCTCATTGCAGCGCGCCAATTTTATAGGTGCGCTGAAGCATGGCCTTACATGAAAGTTAGTCGTGGGCCGTACTGTATGTAGCATATGCTAAATCATATGTAACCTGACTTACCTTTCAAGGATGTAGGCAAACCATCTAGCATGATATGTAGGTATGCTAAATCATATGTAACCTGACTTACCTTTCATGGCTGGTAGGCAGGCCATCTAGCATGATATGTAGCATATGCTAAATCATATGTAACCTGACTTACCTTTCAAGGATGGTAGGCAGGCCATCTAGCATGATATGTAGCATATGCTAAATCATATGTAACCTGACTTACCTTTCAAGGATGGTAGGCAGGCCATCTAGCATGATATGTAGCGTATGCTAAATCATATGTAACCTGACTTACCTTTCAAGGATGGTAGGCAGGCCATCTAGCATGATATGTAGCATATGCTAAATCATATATAACCTGACTTACCTTTCAAGGATGGTAGGCAGGCCATCTAGCATGATATGTAGGTATGCTAAATCATATGTAACCTGACTCACCTTTCAAGGATGGTAGGCAAACCATCTAGCATGATATGTAGCGTATGCTAAATCATATGTTACCTGACTCACCTTTCAAGGATGGTAGGCAGGCCATCTAGCATGATATGTAGCATATGCTAAATCATATGTAACCTGACTTACCTTTCAAGGATGTAGGCAAACCATCTAGCATGATATGTAGCGTATGCTAAATCATATGTTACCTGACTCACCTTTCAAGGATGGTAGGCAGGCCATCTAGCATGATATGTAGCATATGCTAAATCATATGTAACCTGACTTACCTTTCAAGGATGTAGGCAAACCATCTAGCATGATATGTAGCATATGCTAAATCATATATAACCTGACTTACCTTTCAAGGATGGTAGGCAGGCCATCTAGCATGATATGTAGCATATGCTAAATCATATGTAACCTGACTTACCTTTCAAGGATGTAGGCAAACCATCTAGCATGATATGTAGCATATGCTAAATCATATGTAACCTGACTTACCTTTCAAGGATGTAGGCAAACCATCTAGCATGATATGTAGCATATGCTAAATCATATGTAACCTGACTCACCTTTCAAGGATGGTAGGCAGGCCATCTAGCATGATATGTAGCATATGCTAAATCATATGTAACCTGACTCACCTTTCAAGGATGGTAGGCAGGCCATCTAGCATGATATGTAGCATATGCTAAATCATATGTAACCTGACTTACCTTTCATGGCTGGTAGGCAGGCCATCTAGCATGATATGTAGCATATGCTAAATCATATGTAACCTGACTTACCTTTCAAGGATGGTAGGCAGGCCATCTAGCATGATATGTAGCATATGCTAAATCATATGTAACCTGACTTACCTTTCAAGGATGTAGGCAAACCATCTAGCATGATATGTAGCATATGCTAAATCATATGTAACATGACTTACCTTTCAAGGATGGTAGGCAGGCCATCTAGCATGATATGTAGCATATGCTAAATCATATGTAACCTGACTTACCTTTCAAGGATGGTAGGCAAACCATCTAGCATGATATGTAGGTATGCTAAATCATATATAACCTGACTTACCTTTCAAGGATGTAGGCAAACCATCTAGCATGATATGTAGCATATGCTAAATCATATGTAACCTGACTTACCTTTCAAGGATGGTAGGCAGGCCATCTAGCATGATATGTAGGTATGCTAAATCATATATAACCTGACTTACCTTTCAAGGATGGTAGGCAGGCCATCTAGCATGATATGTAGCATATGCTAAATCATATGTAACCTGACTTACCTTTCATGGCTGGTAGGCAGGCCATCTAGCATGATATGTAGGTATGCTAAATCATATATAACCTGACTCACCTTTCAAGGATGGTAGGCAGGCCATCTAGCATGATATGTAGGTATGCTAAATCATATATAACCTGACTCACCTTTCAAGGATGGTAGGCAGGCCATCTAGCATGATATGTAGGTATGCTAAATCATATATAACCTGACTTACCTTTCAAGGATGGTAGGCAAACCATCTAGCATGATATGTAGCATATGCTAAATCATATGTAACATGACTTACCTTTCAAGGATGGTAGGCAGGCCATCTAGCATGATATGTAGCATATGCTAAATCATATGTAACCTGACTCACCTTTCATGGCTGGTAGGCAGGCCATCTAGCATGATATGTAGGTATGCTAAATCATATATAACCTGACTCACCTTTCAAGGATGGTAGGCAGGCCATCTAGCATGATATGTAGGTATGCTAAATCATATGTAACCTGACTCACCTTTCAAGGATGGTAGGCAAACCATCTAGCATGATACGTAGCGTATGCTAAATCATATGTTACCTGACTTACCTTTCAAGGATGGTAGGCAGGCCATCTAGCATGATATGTAGCATATGCTAAATCATATGTAACCTGACTTACCTTTCAAGGATGGTAGGCAGGCCATCTAGCATGATATGTAGCATATGCTAAATCATATGTAACCTGACTTACCTTTCAAGGATGTAGGCAAACCATCTAGCATGATATGTAGCATATGCTAAATCATATGTAACCTGACTTACCTTTCAAGGATGGTAGGCAGGCCATCTAGCATGATATGTAGGTATGCTAAATCATATATAACCTGACTCACCTTTCAAGGATGGTAGGCAGGCCATCTAGCATGATATGTAGGTATGCTAAATCATATGTAACCTGACTCACCTTTCAAGGATGGTAGGCAAACCATCTAGCATGATATGTAGCATATGCTAAATCATATGTTACCTGACTTACCTTTCAAGGATGGTAGGCAGGCCATCTAGCATGATATGTAGCATATGCTAAATCATATGTAACCTGACTTACCTTTCAAGGATGGTAGGCAGGCCATCTAGCATGATATGTAGCATATGCTAAATCATATGTAACATGACTTACCTTTCAAGGATGGTAGGCAGGCCATCTAGCATGATATGTAGGGTATGCTAAATCATATGTAACCTGACTTACCTTTCAAGGATGGTAGGCAGGCCATCTAGCATGATATGTAGGGTATGCTAAATCATATGTAACATGACTTACCTTTCAAGGATGGTAGGCAGGCCATCTAGCATGATATGTAGGGTATGCTAAATCATATGTAACCTGACTTACCTTTCAAGGATGGTAGGCAGGCCATCTAGCATGATATGTAGGGTATGCTAAATCATATGTAACATGACTTACCTTTCAAGGATGGTAGGCAGGCCATCTAGCATGATATGTAGGGTATGCTAAATCATATGTAACCTGACTTACCTTTCAAGGATGGTAGGCAGGCCATCTAGCATGATATGTAGGGTATGCTAAATCATATGTAACATGACTTACCTTTCAAGGATGGTAGGCAGGCCATCTAGCATGATATGTAGGGTATGCTAAATCATATGTAACATGACTTACCTTTCAAGGATGGTAGGCAGGCCATCTACTTCCAGCGCAGGAACTGTGCCGAATGGACTGATCTCCTTCTGATATTTTGCTCTCTCCTCAGGAGCTGTAAATGGGAAATTCAAGTTTTCAAGCTTTAACTTATGAATTTACTCATATCCGACTATCATGCTGGCAGAAGAATGAGAGAATTTGTAATAATCATCATTACATGATGCAATATTATCTGATTACTACACATTATATTATATAAACTCAAACAAAATTGAAGTTTTCTAAAATGAAAAAATCGAGATGGAACAAGAAACCCTTCTTGGATATAATCAAAAATGAAGTAAACAGAAATAACTTAACAAAGCTAAGAAATAGCACACATACATTATAAACTGAAAGGGATTGTCACCAATTACCCCCATTGAAGAAATGAAATGTCTGATGTGTAATACGAAAACTGGTTAAGAATCCCATTTCCAATTTGAATGCTATAAATTAAAACATGTTCTGTCAAAATAATGCAAAAACTTACTTCTTTCAAATGCTTGCAAGACAAACTCGTAATCAATTTTGTCTTTATTCATCATCAACATCACCCCAACAGCCCTTGATGGTTGCGACCTGTAGTCAGCATGCAATTTAATTGGAGCCATTTCTGATATATTCCTGTCTGTTGGAACTGTAGTCTTCTTGTGCTCAGTTGGTGCTCCTTCGCTATGTTCTGTTGGTGACTAAATGTGTATGGTTTAAGTGATAACCTTTAGTGATGTGGCCTTTAAAATTGTTTGATTCACATATATAAGAATGTTTACATAATCTTTTAGATAAGACATGTAAGAGGCTTAACTTGATTCAGGTGTTTCACAGATGGGAAGTCTTGTACATATGTATAGTTTATCATGGGCACTCTCTCTTCAAGTGATTTTGAGCCAACGTTGTCAAATCTGATTCCCCATTGGCAAAAGCTAGCTAGGGGCCCACTTTCTGTGTGTTTTCAAAGAGGGTACTTTTGTCCTTTTTTGCTACAGCAATGAAGCCACTGTTTGACATTTGGGTATGGCAGTTACCTCAATTATAATGTTTGCAGTTGTTCAATATTTACTTAAATATTATTAGCTAACTGTTTGCTCATCAGCTTAAATATATGTTAGAATATGATTTGTATTTAACCCCATAATGATGTTGCTGATAATTTATATCAATTTGTGTAAATATTAGATATGTGTGTACAGGTATATTTCTCAGTCTAATGTTCTTCTTTGAAATCTTGCTAAAATAAATGCACAGTAAAACCATCTAGTCGGAACACCACTTTGCCAACCAAGTATCACATATTTTGGTTTTGGCTGTAGAGGACCACCCTGAATAGTGTTAGAGAACAGATGATATTCATTTATTATCCTACACTTAGTGTACTAAATGTATAATAACATTAAAAAATAAATTTGATATTTATTGGCAAAATGAATATCCGGAGGATATCGTAACGATATACTCCGGGCGGAGGATATCGTGACAATATACTCCGGAAAACCCAATATGCGGAGGATATTGTGACGATGTACTCCGCTTGTTGATTTTCCGCCAAATTGACTCTATTTGGCATGGAATTCATTTTGCAATGATATTATACATTTAGTACACTCCTTGTAAGTGTAGGATAATAAGAACATCCTATGATTTTTTTTCAGAATATCATTTTAATCTACTCGGTGATATTGATATATGCACTCGTTCGCTTCGCTCTCTCGTGCAGATATCAATATCACCTCGTAGATAAAAATGATATTCCTCAAAATCATAGGATATCCCATAAATATGTGTGTTATGCCTATCATTTTTGGCTCACACCGTAAGCCCATTGGATCAACTAGGCATCTGTCCATCTGCCCATTGGTCCCTCCATCCACTTGTCAACATTAGCTGTGCAAATTAAAACTGCAATTTATATTAAGTCATATCCACATTCATTTTATATAGTGCCTGTTTGACCTGTCTTCGCCATGTCCCAAGTTTGCCCAGTTTCTGAGGAATTGTCAATTGTGATGTAAAAAAGTCAAATTTTCTTTAAATATCAGACATATTGTTTAAGTAAAACTTTTAAATAAATGCTAGTAGTTTCAAAGATTTCAAAGCTCTTGGAATTACAGTTTTGGGTGTTTACTCTAAAACATTTGACAAAAAGTAGGACCTTAGCCATTTCCATGGAATTTTCTCAAGTATAAAGTCAATGGCGGGTTTTCTGATTGAAAATTGCTTAATGTAACTAAGTTACTGAGTAACTATTACTCAATGAATTATTACCTACCAAAGTATGAGCAGACCTTCCTCCCCCTGGCCAAAGATTCTTTCAAAATTATGCAGCTTTTCACCATTCTGAGAACTTTTTAAGTGATTTGGGCCTTTTTTGGGCAAAAGTTGTCAAAGTGAACCCCCCAGAATTTTTCAAAAAGTGAACCCCCCTTGACAAATACTGGCTTTATTTGACCAGCTCAATTTTCTGTCAAGGTGAGGGAAGTTGACTCACTATATAGGTTGCTCCCAAGGTATTGAATTTTTATTTTGTCAAATGGTGCATTAATACCTTGTTTTGTCATTACAGTCGGATCTCTCCCTGCACAGACTCTCAGGATTTAGACACAGCAATGGCACTGAGGGATTCTCTCATCTTCCTAGTGTGTATGTCGGACAACTACATCAATGATGACAACTGCATCAAACAGTTCAAGTACGCTATATCAACCTTGAAAAAGAAAAAGGTTGTAGCATTGTTGGACAGTCAGATGACGTGGAAGACTTCCAACATTGGTTTCCTGCTATCAGATGAGGTATTGTATTATGCTTAAATCCCCATATTCTGATTGGTTCCTCATCCTGCTTACTGGGAAATATACCCAGCAGGAATAATTAAAAGATGATCATGCTCTGTGCCTTAATTTTGAGTTTCTGACACCTCCACTCAACCCCTGTTCTCAAAAAATGCAAATATTGACAGAGATTGACTTATTTGATGCATATATTCTTATGGTTTCTATTATGTAGAGCATGTAATCTTGACAATGTCTCATAATAAAGGACCCGGATTTCACTTATTTGATTGATGCACTGTAATCACTGTAAGATGGTATTTTTAATAAAAGCTTTATTATGTTCAGGTGTATGTCAACATGAAACCAAATGAATACGAGTCAAAGAGACAAGAACTTATTGAAGCAATTAATGCCAGAACTGACATTGAGAAGCAAGATAAGTCAAATACTCCTGTCTTCATCAGTTATTGCTGGTCAAACTCTGATAGAGCTATCAAAGAAGGAAGCAGGTAAGATACATGTATATATGATTTATATTTATTGCTGGTCTAACTCTGATAGAGCTATCAAAGAAGGAAGCAGGTAAGATACATGTATATATGATTTATATTTTATTGCTGGTCTAACTCTAATAGAGCTATCAAAGAAGGAAGCAGGTAAGATACATGTATATATGATTTATATTTATTGCTGGTCTAACTCTAATAGAGCTATCAAAGAAGGAAGCAGGTAAGATACATGTATATATGATTTATAGAATTCCCAATGTTCAGTCATTTTGGCCAGCACGGTAAAATCTGTATATCCAAACATCTCTCTGATTTGAACACAATGGTATCATGTGTTTATCTAATGTTGCTTTGTGTGCTTTCTCTACAGGAAACTTGAGGGAGCCATAGGTCATGGTGACCCAAGGGAGTTGAAGGAATACATAGAGAGCAATGGTATCATGTGTTTATCTAATGTTGCTTTGTGTGCTTTCTCTACAGGAAACTTGAGGGAGCCATAGGTCATGGTGACCCAAGGGAGTTGAAGGAATACATAGAGAGCAATGGTATCATGTGTTTATCTAATGTTGCTTTGTGTGCTTTCTCTACAGGAAACTTGAGGGAGCCATAGGTCATGGTGACCCAAGGGAGTTGAAGGAATACATAGAGAGCAATGGTATCATGTGTTTATCTAATGTTGCTTTGTGTGCTTTCTCTACAGGAAACTTGAGGGAGCCATAGGTCATGGTGACCCAAGGGAGTTGAAGGAATACATAGAGAGCAATGGTATCATGTGTTGGTTGGACAAGGAGCAAGTTGGAAAGGTCAGTTAGGAGAGTGATAATGTCATGGTTATAGCCAGGAGGTCAAAGGGTTCAACCAAAATTCTTTCATAATGACATATTTCACCATTTTGAGCATTTTCAAGTGATTTTAGGCCAAAGTCAAATATGTCCCCTCTGAAACTTTTAATAACCGAATGATAATTATATCATGATAGTATTAATGCCCATCTCTCCATGAGATGTTTTAAATACTTATGATACAACATCAAATACTGTATGATTAATCGGTTTTTACTGTGATAAAGCTACAAAGTGATGATGTACAGTATCTGAAAAGATATCTAAAAAATCATTATTAAAAATTACCTATTTCGTAAAATACTCTCTGGCTCTTTTCAATAGATTCTCCAGAAGATTGATGAAACTTACATGTGGACTATGACATTGCCATCTATATGAAAGCAACTGAATCTGAAATTCTTTATTTCTAGAATGGCCTAATGGATGACATTGCAGATGGAATAAAGAAAGCTAAAATATTTGTGGCTTGTATGTCAGACCAATATGTGAAGTCCCAAAACTGTATGAGGGAATTCCATTTTGCGGTTCAACAACTGAAGTTACCATCCGTCATGGCTATAGTGGGCACTGGAGAAAATTGGAAATATTCTGGGGTATGTTCTTTACAGTGAAACCTGTAAAGTGGAACACCTTTGCTATTGGAACACATCAGAGAGTCAATGTTAAATTAATAAATAAATAGAATACCGGTAACAATGGTGTTCCACTTAGGTTTTGCTGTACATTATTCATTACTTAAAGTTTTATAGAAAAGCTTGTTTTAGGACCGTCAACCATTTTTTAGTTTGAAATTGCATTCATCGGTCATGAGGTAGCTACAAATTTTAAACTACTAATTAAATATGAATCTTCCTTATCCTTTTTGAAGATCTACCTGCTATCTTTGATGAAGGAAAAAGGATTATGTCTGCCTCTTTAAGATATAATTTTTTGGGGACATTGTATCATGTACATGAATTTCAGGAGTTTGCTAGTTGGTCTTTAACAGGATGCGACTGTTACATAATTCCAGAACTTTGCACTTTCCATTTAATTAGGATAAAACTGTTGCATAATTGCAGGCAGGAATTGTAGCTATTACTGATAGGATTCCCACAGTGAACTTCCAGCAGCAGGTTGAAGGAGAGAAGGATAAATTGTTGAAACATATCAAAAAGCACATTGAAGCTGAAGACTTGCAGAATAAGAAAGCAGATAAAAGTAAACCAAAGACTAAAATTGGTGCATTCCAGGTTTGTAGACAGTATTGTTTTTTATTGTATGACTTGTCAGCATCTCTTGATGCAGGAAAAACATGTGATGAATTAAAGGTTAGAATCAGGTTTGAATCTCAGTATATTGTGTTAGATTGATGAAAGGTCTTCATTGATGCTTTGTTTTGATTAATGCCCTTGCTCTTGGTTTCAATTGTGATATAATTGTAGGAATTGTATGAGCTTCAGCAACGCAAGTTCCTTCACCGTATTGCGTCTGTTTCTGACAAAAGTAATCTTGAACCGTATCCAAGACTAATAGTGGCAGATTTGGTCAGTCAAGACACAGCTTCTAATAAAGGTAAGTTAAGTCCGGATTTTATTGAATATTGGGGCTGTCATGATTTTCGTCACTGTGTGCTGATGAATGAATTTGTGCTGCTGAATTAGTGCAGGGATCTTAGTATGTGCCACACTTGTTTAAACATGAAGTTTGTGTATAATATTGCAACTATGTTTGAAATTATAAACATGATAATTTTCAGCTAATCAGCCAAGTCTTGTGCGCCAGAACTCAACAGTGAGTAACCATGGGGCTGTAGATGGCAGCACTGGTCAACAACGACCTGCGACAGCCAATCAGAGGAAAGATTTTAGCAAACAAGATTACTGTTTGAAACTTCTTTGTGAATATGAACAAGTAAGTGAGAATGTTTGTGGCAGTAAAAAATATGGAACCTGAATTCACATGATAAATATATGATTATTAATTTATTACCAAGTAGCTGCAATATCATTGAGCTTTGAAGTCTCATAATTAGCATTATATCCGAGTTGATTGATAAATATATGATTATTACCAAGTAGCTGCAATATCATTGAGCTTTGAAGTCTCATGATTAGCATTATATCCGAGTTGATTGATAAATATATGATTATTACCAAGTAACTGCAATATCATTGAGCTTTGAAATCTCATAATTAGCATTATATCCTATTTGATTGATAAATATATGATTATTACCAAGTAGCTGCAATAACATTGAGATTTGAAGTCTCATAATTAGCATTATATCCATTGATTTGATTGATAAATATATGATTATTATTAAGTAGCTGCAATATCATTGAGCTTTGAAGTCTCATGATTAGCATTATATCCGAGTTGATTGATAAATATATGATTATTACCAAGTAGCTGCAATATTATTGAGCTTTGAAGTCTCATAATTAGCATTATATCCTATTTGATTGATAAATATATGATTATTACCAAGTAGATACAATATCATTGAGCTTTGAAGTCTCATAATTAGCATTATATCCTATTTGATTGATAAATATATGATTATTACCAAGTAGCTGCAATATCATCGAGCTTTGAAGTCTCATAATTAGCATTATATCTGAGTTGATTGATAAATATATGATTATTACCAAGAAGCTACAATATCATTGAGCTTTGAAGTCTCATAATTAGCATTATATCCGAGTTGATTGATAAATATATGATTATTACCAAGTAGCTGCAATATCATTAAGCTTTGAAGTCCCATAATTAGCATTGTATCCATTGATTTGATTGATGAATATATGATTATTATTAAGTAGCTGCAATATCATTGAGCTTTGAAGTCTCATGATTAGCATTATATCCGAGTTGATTGATAAATATATGATTATTACCAAGAAGCTACAATATCATTGAGCTTTGAAGTCTCATAATTAGCATTATATCTGAGTTGATTGATAAATATATGATTATTACCAAGAAGCTACAATATCATTGAGCTTTGAAGTCTCATAATTAGCATTATATCCGAGTTGATTGATAAATATATGATTATTACCAAGTAGTTGCAATATCATTAAGCTTTGAAGTCTCATAATTAGCATTGTATCCTAGTTGATTGATAAATATATTATTATTGCGTAGTAGCAATGAATAATATAACCAATATATATGTAAAATAATGTTGAAGTCAAATGTAATGTGTATGTTATGTCAATGCATATATGTTCTGACTTTAGTGATATAAAATGATAAATGATAGATATGTAAACTTTCAGGGTTGGCATTTCTGTGGTGACCCATTCCCTGCACCAGCGGGTTTTGGTGAGAAGTTGTCAAAGAGTTTGTCCCCTTATCAAGTCCAGATTTTCTCAATCCTGAAGCACAGTGACAATGCCATTCTCAACTGTTCTTTGGGACCAGAGGGCAAGGAGTTCTCCAGATGGTGTCAGAAGGTAAGTTAAATATAAAGTAAGTGCATCTGTGCAAAATGAAACACATTTGGTTCTATTTGGAAGGTTTTTCATTTAAAGAGATGTCGCAGTAAAAGTAGGTGGAACACATTTTGCACTTCAATAATGTTCCACAAGATTTGTTCCTCCTATGAGGATTAATTTACATAATGTAAAAGGTTGAGAGAACTTTGTAAAGTTTTCCAGTTGTGGAAGTGTTTTACCAACAGAGATGTTCTTTACAAATGGAAATTTCACTTACTTGTGATTTGTAGAATGTACAGGAGACCATTGAGACTGGGGACTTTAATAAAGTTTACTTGTTATTTGTAGAATGTACAGGAGACCATTGAGACTGGGGACTTTAATAAGGTTTACTTGTTATTTGTAGAATGTACAAGAGACTATTGAGACTCGGACTTTATTAAGGTTTACTTGTTATTTGTAGAATGCGCAGGAGACAATTGAGACTGGGGACTATAATAAGGTTTACTTGTTATTTTGTAGAATGTGCAGGAGACTATTGAGACTGGGGACTTAAATGAGGTTTACTTGTTATTTGTAGAATGTTCAGGAGATTATTGAGACTGGGGACTTTAATAAGGTTTACCAGGAACTGAGGACACTTATGTTGGAAGCTGACCCTGGCCCAGAAAGGAACAAGGCTGGACTGAAGAGGTAAGACCTTCCAAACTCTCATTTTTCCATTATGTATTTCAAGCAATCAGAACACTTAGATAACAATTTACATTGTCTTATATGACAAACTACTTATATTCAGTCTTATCAATACTGCTGTAGGGGAAAGTGTCCAATTTCAGGGTTCGTACACACCTGGAAATGTCAGGGAAATTGATTTATTTTTCCAGGTGCTGGAAATGTCAGGGAATTTTAAAATTGGGTCAAAAAGGGCCAAAAATGTCAGGGAATTTTGAAACAGTAGATGTGTCAGGGAAATGTCAGGGAATTTTGTATCAATGTTGAAAGAATAATGTTCCAGCAAAATACATTTTAGGGCTATGACAGGATATGAGTGAAATCCAAAATCATCTAGTTGTTTCCACAAATTGCAAATCTTTTCATTAGGGTTGGTTGAATGACATTATATCTGGTATTGTCTATTTGTAAGAACAGTGTGAACATTACACTGAAACCGAACAATAAAAATAATGTATAGATGATTTAATACAATTATGCTTTTTTATGTAGTAAGCTTAGTCTTAAGCCATTCAAAGTTAATTACTGGTATATATTTCATGGTTTGATGAGGGTTAATCTGAGGGGGGGGGGGGCGGGAGGTGAAAAACAAAAAAATTCTGGGAGCTCTTTACAATGTAAAATTGTATTTATATTAAGAAGCTGTCTGTTCGACAGTCCGATCGTATGTCAGTCTTTTCAACTTTCAGGGACTTTGCCAATTTTGAAAACCTTAGCACATGGAAGTAGGCAACCAAAATGTGTGTGGGGTACTATTAACTTTTTTGAATTTGGTCCAAATTTTTCTTCTTGTAAAGATGAACCCAGCATTTTACTTTGGCTCAAATTTTGTATGATGTAGCCTTACTGTTAGGGACAAAGGACCTGCTCAAGAAGAAATATTCAAGATGGTCTCTGAATTCAAAATTGCCACCATTTTTTATGAAATTTTTGATAATTTAAAGAAATTTGATTCCTGATAACACAAAATACTGATTATTTGATTTGGTATCATAGGCCTGAGCCTTTTCGTGATCTGGTGATGCTACTTGAGAAGGAATTTCTAATATGGTGTCAATTGTTTTGGTGTAATTTTCTAAAAAGGGAGAAGACAATAGTAATGCCAGGTTATTGCTATCATATAATGTTCACAATAATAGTATTCAATAGAAATATGTTTCATTAGGTGGGAATTGCCCCTCAAGTGAGTTGCTATTTTTCTAGTAGGATTTAGATCAAAATTTTAAAGTTTCAGTTGTCATTTTTATTTTTTACAAAACATTAACAAATTATAGTTTGAAATGCTTAGAATGCACCATATACAATAATAATTGTCAATTTTGAAAAAATTTCCGGGGCTGAACCCCCGTACCCCCCTTCTGGTTTTCCTTCGCTCGCAGTGATGCAAACCCCAAAAGATGCACCTCCTTGATACTTGTTGGCTATGCCCCTGTACATGTATGTTTACCTTTTGGCCTTATGCAATGTAAAATATGTAATATTAAAGATAAAATGTATCAGGAATAGATTAGTGAATAAGACTGCCTGTACAAGTAGTAAAGTCATGAGATGGTACTGAAGGAGAAACCCCATATGATTCATAATAAGTCTTTTTGTCTTGAATAATACAGTTGTTTGAGACTTTTTAGAGGACGCGCGAGGAAAATTAGATCTGGAAATTTCCTTTTTTGCCTGGAAATGTCAGGGAATTGTCAGGGAAATTCATTTTGAAAAAGGTGTACGAACCCTGTCAATAGTTGTGGGAAACCTAAGTTAATTTCTTTAAGGTTTGACCTTTCCTCAGCCTCTCATCTGAGACAAAATTCTCAAACATTGTCTTTCACTTGAATAACAACACTATTCGCAAACAATACCATCATGTACCACCTCCCCATAATGAAACTGTGTTATTCCACAACTTTTGATAATTTGACACCATCCCTAAAAATATGTTAAACCACATTGACAAATAATATTCATTTGATTGGATGATTCCAGGTGCCATTTGTCCAATGGTAAAGTTACATGGGTTTGATTCATTTGATTGGTTGATTCTATGTGCTATTTGTCAAATGGTAAAGTCATATGGGTTTAATACATTTGATTGGTTGATTCCAGTTGCCATTTGCCCAATAATAAAGTAACATGGCATTGATTCATTTGATTGGTTGAGTCCAGGTGCCATTTGCCCAATAATAAAGTTACATGGGTTTGATTCATTTGATAGGTTGATTCTAGGTGCTATTTGTCAAATGGTAAAGTCATATGGGTTTAATTCATTTGATTGGTTGATTCTAGGTGCCATTTACCTAATGGTAAAGTAATATGGCTTTGATTCATTTTGTTGGTTGATTCCATGTGCCATTTGCCCAATGGTAAAGTAACATGGTTTTGATTCATTTGATTGGTTGATTCCAGGTGCCATTTGCCCAATGGTAAAGTAACATGGCTTTGATTCATTTGATTGGTTGATTCCAGGTGCCATTTGTCCAATGGTAAAGTTACATGGGTTTGATTCATTTGATAGGTTGATTCAAGGTGCTATTTGTCAAATGGTAAAGTCATATAGGTTTAATTCATTTGATTGGTTGATTCTAGGTGCCATTTACCTAATGGTAAAGTAGTATGGCTTTAATTCATTTTGTTGGTTGATTCCAGGTGCCATTTGCCCAATGGTAAAGTAACATGGTTTTGATTCATTTGATTGGTTGATTCCAGGTGCCATTTGTCCAATGGTAAAGTTACATGGGTTTGAATCATTTGATAGGTTGATTCTAGGTGCTATTTGTCAAATGGTAAAGTAATATGGCTTTGATTCATTTTGTTGGTTGATTCCAGGTGCCATTTGCCCAATGGTAAAATAACATGGTTTTGATTCATTTGATTGGTTGATTCCATGTGCTATTTACCCAATGGTAAAGTAACATGGCTTTGATTCATTTGATTGGTTGATTCCAGGTGCCATTTGCCCATTGGAAAATTAACATGGCTTTGATTTATTTGATTGGTTGATTTTTTTTAAGGTTATTTTATTTCCATATTTAAGACATATATAAACATACAATAATACATGAATATGGAGAAACAAGCCTACGTTTGCACATTATTGGCTTGTGGAAATACATTTTATACAGTGGATATTTACACATACAATAGTAGTCATAATTTACATAAATGCAGTGTTCAGATGGGATGAAGATGAGTGATGATGATATGAAATTTGGCAAGGTACAGTAGCTATGGCACTTCACAATATTTTATTAATAAAATCTGATGATAAATTTATAAGTGTGGAGTTAAGCTTTGGTGATAGTTCTTTATCACCAAATAAAATCATATCAACCTTGTCATATTTACGTTTACTGGAGAAAAGTTTGAGGTCAGGGTCAGCTTGCTGGGAGAGACTTAGGAGAAATGTTTGTCTTGCATCATGTGTAAGAGGGCAATTCCATGTACTAATTGCCCAATGTTAAAGTCACATGGCTTTGATTCTTTTGATTGGTTGATTCCATGTGCTAGTTACCCAATGGTAAAGTAACATGGCTTTGAGTCATCTGATTGGTTGATTCCAGGTGCCATTTGCCCAATGGCAAAGTAACATGGCTTTGTGAGGAGCACCAGGCATCAAGCAGAGCTACTGTTCTTCACGATACCACAGGTCATCAGGGAACGGTGGAGAGAAAGGAGGACTACATACTCTTAAATCTCAGCCCTGAATTAGCAAAACTTGCCCAGGATCAGTCACAAAGAATTTATGGTAATATAAAAGTCTTAAATCTACAGAGTTCTTAATTCTTAGCACTGATCTGACCAAACTGACCCAGGATCAGTCACAAAGAATATATGGTATTAGAGGTTTTGGATAATTATATCTGCTCATGTTTTTCTTAGCTGTACTAATCAGCATCCATTTTTCACTCAGCTCACATTAATTTCTTGTTGTAAATGTCACATTAATTTCTCATTCATTTCACATTCATTTTTCATTACCCTCTACTTTTAGGCTGTGATAATGCATATGTAGAGGAGAATGAAGAACAAGATGAAGATGCTGATGTAGGCAAAGGTTCATCATCATCGCCTGCAGTTTCTGCATCATCCCCTGCAGTTTCAGCATCATCGCCTGCAATTTCTGCATCATCGCCTGCAGTTTCTGCATCACAAGACTCCAACAATGACTCGTCCAAGACAGATTTGTCAAAGCAAGACATACCTACTGCAAAACAACAAGCTGAACCAGTTCGTCCTAAACCAGCTGAACAAGTCCCTTCTCAACCATCTAAACAAATCCCTCCTCAACCAGCTAAACAAATCCCTCCTCAACAAGTGACTAGTGCCAAACAGAGTCAGCCAAAGGACATTGGACAATCAGACAAGACTCTTCCTCCACAGGATAACAAGAAACCAGCTAAGAAACCCAATGATACTGCTAAACCATTGCAGAAGGGTGATAGAGCCAACAGCAGGGCGTGTGTAATATCTTAATTTGAGGAAATATTTCCTCTTACATTATGTGGCACATTTAAACAGGGTGTATGAAATGGAACTTGCTGTGTTATGAACCAGGATTTAAGCTTTGCTTATTGTAATTAAACCAGGGTTAAAATATGGATTTTAAAGAATTTGTGTCAGAATTTGCAACAGTGTACAGTGTATGTGTGGTTAACACAGATTTAAACTTAGAATTGTAAAGAAATATTTGCATATAACAATTACTTATTTAACTTGGGTTTAAATTAAGAAAGTATTGAGAATATACTAAGCACATATGAGCATGACTTGCTGTTGAAGTTTATGCCATATCGAAAATATTGTGTGAAATTTCAAAGTAGCTTTAAAATAACGTAAATGGCCATTTATAAATATAACCAAGCGGGTATTTATAAAATTATGCAAACGGAGATTTATTTTGAGGAAAAGCAAATCTTGAATAAGTTCTTTCTTTCAACCAAACCCATACATTGTAAGAACGTGCCATATTGAGAAACTCCAGTGTGCAAATAGATACACTTGCTGATAATAATGCTGAATAAGCTAGACTCCGGGATGAAAAGTTCAGGGTATTTTCATATTTAAGATGATTTCTATATTCCAAATATCTCAGAGGATTTTACATCATCATTGAAAAGTACTGAATACCAAAAGATCTAACATTCTTTATAAACTTTATCTCACATACAAGAGGAAGATGCAGATGTATATGACGTATACATATATTTGAAGTTTGCTGCAGTCAGCATAAATGTGAAAATACTACAAATGCCAAATAAAAATCTTATTATTGAGTTTTCTACAGGACTTTAGCAATCATTTAATGACGACAATCAACTCAATGTGATAATGTGCAATGTTTAATCTCCGTCCAATTATTAAAGGAGCAACAAAGGAATACATGGAAGAACTTATTTCCATAAACATTGCAATATTTTATAATCAAATTTTTGATTTCTGAGAACGGTTTGAGATATCTGTATAAGTCAGTAAATGAAGAATTGAGATGCAGAAATTGCCAAATTAGAAAATAGTAAAACTGTAAATATGTCACCCCAGTTTTTCCTTTGTTGTCGCTTTAAGACCTTTCAGATCTCATATATTTTCAGACACATTTTATAGTCTGTTACTCTCTGATGTGATACATTTGATATATGATATTGTTTTGTGATATTTGTATATTTTATATACATACAACAAAAATTGATACAGGCCTTCTGAACAATTTTTTCTAATATTTTTGTTTGTTCGCAAAAATATAAAAACATAGATGAATTTGAAGTAGATGATTCGTATTATATTGTACATATGTGATATGTATGCTTATTATTACTTTCAATTTGACAATGTATTGTATGGTTATTTATATTGTATTGTATGATTGTTAATATATGTATTGTATTACTAATATTAATGTAAAGAATGTTTACCATAATTTAAAAGCAGCATAGTTTCCACTGATAAAAATTAACATTCCAATCGCAAAGCGAATTAAGAGTATAGAAATTGTGGTTTATTATAAAACATTGTGGCAAATACTATAAAACATTAGATTATATTTATCTTTAATTTTATTTTAATAATTATCTTCATAATTATTGTAGATTGTGATAAATACGCTTGCAGTATGTAATAAATTAAAATCACAATGTATATGTTATGTTTACATGTTTAGATACTGTAAATTACTGGGCAGCTGGCGTAGCAGCATCGGTGACTATGGGTGTCCGCAGTGGGGGGGGGGGTTGTAGGGTGTTACTGCATCTCCCTTTTTGAACCAACATAATCAATGTGAAACAATATTGAAAATCGCGGAACGCGCATTCCATTTACTTAAATTTTATCACTATATATGTATGATACATGTATGTTTTTGATTAAATTACTGGTAGATTAAGCTTGAAAACACTATTTATGTAATAATTAATATAGTTTTGTGAGACACTAATGATATGAACCCCCTCCAAAGTAGAACTCTAAACCTTCCGAGTTCCTACAATCTGAGACCATCATAGAATGTTATTATGTTAGTCTCAGCTACAATGTTAAAACATAATATCACTGGATATAGCTGTGGAGTTTTTTTTTGTTTTTTTTTATTTCCTTTTCAACATTTTACAATACAGAGTTATAAGTAAGCAGGAGTATTAGAAGAAAATACAACAAAATACAAAAATGTTCACAATAATTTTCTCATTTCTAGTTCGTTATGAAATAGAAATGATATATTTGGATGTTCTCCATATTTAAACTTGCTTATGCAGTGTTTTGCGATAAGTATGACTTGATTTACATAATCTTGTACAGATTTTTTTTTGTTCTCATAAAATAAAAGTACATCTACATCAGTGAAAGTAATATTTTCATATTTTCTTTTTAACACTGTTTTAACATCATCCCAAATTCTTTTTATTTGGTGACACTTAATAAAAAAATGTTCATAAGTATCCTCCTCTTCTACACAATATTTACATTTCTTGGTGTTACTTAGTTTCCATTTTTCTAATTGAATATTCGTAGGGCACACCTGATGTATTATTTTATATTGTAATGATCTGATTTTTGTTTCTTTTATTCTGCCTATGTGTCCCCATATATTTTTCCATTGTAGGTTTTCATACATGTTATTCCATTTTAACATTACATTTGGACATATTTTCTCATTTTTTATTATAGAGGCTTGAAAATCTCTGGCCTTTGACTTATTAATGATACAATTGTTAAATTTCAAAATTTTGCTAGTATTTCTTTTTATAATACTTATTTTCTGTATGGCATTTTTTATCACGTTATACTCTAACTGTAACCCTGCATTATTTTGCATGAGGTTTCTAAAATACTCAATTGGATGTACATGATTATTCTCGTCTATTATATCAGACACTGTATTCAATCCAGCATCTTTCCAACTTTGAAAATATATCACATTTTTCCGATAAGAAACGTTTCTGTTGTTCCAAATTATATCTTTATTTGAAATTGCTTCACTCACCTCTTTCTTAAACCAACATTTTACTAAAAATGTGTAAAATTCAGGGATATTTTCATCCTGAGGCCTTGGTTTTATGTCTTTGAAATTACAATCATACAGGAAAAAGTTTAGACCATGTCCCATTCTATTTAAATATAAGTTACTAAGTAACTTCCATGCTGCATCATCTGTACTATACAGCCTATTTACCCATGTCAATACAAGAGCTTCCTGACTAACATTTATAGCTGTGGAGTTACTCTTCAAACTAGTCACGGAAACGCATCCGTTTTCGTACCAAAATGTCGCAGCCTCGAAGGTACGATTTTATTTTAATGATTTTACGAATTGTAGTTAAAAATTATTTATGAAAATCTATTAAATACGTTGTGATCGAATAGTTCACGAGGCGCCAAATTGATCAAAACAATTCCTCACTGGTACTATTACGTAAACGGAAGTACAGATATACACCGTTTTAAAACATTCCATTTTTTAACTTATGATGTAAATGAAGGAGTATATCGATGATTTTGTCTCGTGAATTATTATTCGTTCGAGAACGTGGAGATTTTCTAAAACCTGTGATTTGATGATGCTGACACACGTTTTTGGTCGTGGAGATTCTGCCCAAATCTTGAGAAATAATTAAAAAAAGGAAAATCTTTCCTTCGTATCTGCATTTTGCTACGAAAACGGATGCGTTTTCGTAACATTTTGAAGAGTGACTCCACAGTAAATGTGATGGCCGATGTGATCATACGATCTCTAAAAAGCTAGGGCTAAGGGTCTCTTAGTCACTTGAATTATCAAACCAATTGAGGATAAATGACAGGAACAACACTCCACACTGTCATACTCAAATGATACTCTCAAATAAAGTAATATTTATTTGCATATTTTTATATTATAATTTTTTTTTATTTATATTTAAAAGCGCACCGAAGACTGGATAAATAAAGATTGCATTGTTTATTGTTGTATAATTTGAAATCAGAAAAACAATAAATCGAGCCGAGAGAAAGAGAAACAAACTGTCAATGACATGAATGAGGAAGAAGTAAAACTAGTCTTGACCCCAAACTATCTTTTTGAATTATGAATATTAATTGATTCGGTATTTCCTAACTAAATATTATAATAAATGTTAATATAGAAGAACATCGGCAAGAACTTCCTATGGAATTTAAATTTCACTACAGACTACATGTAGAAGAATTATAGTGGGTATCATCATCGAAATAGAAAAAGGTAAGTGATTATAGATAATTATAATTTGCAAATTACGGAACCAGTGTCAAAAACATATTTTAGGAAAAACAATTACGTTGATAATGTTTTTAAGAAACACTAAGGGACTACAATAGTATTCATTTGGACATTTTAGATGACCTATTGTAAGGTCAGTTGATGGGAGGTTTACATCATATATCTGAAGACATGTTTTACATGTAGTTTTGTGATAACATATATTGGACAAGCAGCCAGAAGGGTATGTTATTCTATTTCGAGTCTTTGAAGCCTTCTTGAACAAATTGACGTTATCATTGGGACCAGAGCGGTGTACAGACATCGGAGCATTGGGAACGATAGGCCGAAGTAAATATTTTACAATACATATATGGAAATTCATTAGAATTATATCGGATACAATATGTACATTTCAAAGTGTTGATTGGGATGAATCGCATGAATAACAGGGGACTGGATCCAAGAAATGCGAGCCGTATTTAAGTGGAGAGGCGTTCTTTGAACACTGTTCAAAGAATATATTCTTTTCTAAATGAAACATTTTTAGTTTCCTCGAAACAATTAATTAGGTAGTAAGCTAGCACCCAAAAATGTATTAGTTCGTGAACAAATTGAAATTACTTGTTTCTTATGTATTTTTATGTGATGCTTCAGAAAATTTTTGTCTGACGCGCCATATCCGGGGCGAAAATTGTCAAAATGGGGTTTTCGACCCTGAAATGGAAAATTACAGGGGGTACTTTATCATCACTGAATAAATCATTCTGTTAGTCTTCAATCATCATAATAATTTTATGGGGGGTTGATTGGATCATGCTGAGGTAGTATGTAAAATTTCAATGCTCTGTCACTCATGGTTGTCATGGAAACCACAATTTTCGTTCAAAATATCCTTAATTTTGCAAAACCTGAACATGTACATCATGTAGAATATGGATTATTTTTCGAATCAACACATATCAGCACATTTTAGCACACTCAAAATAACCAGTTCAGTTCAAACATTTGTTTAAATATAAAGGATATTGCAATTTACATGATTGGTCAGTGTCAAAGAACATACAATTACATGAGTGATCAAAAGTGGGCGTCGCCCCCATAATAGTAGATGATTGCTATACTCTATAAAAAGAGAGTTTAACTTGACTTTTGAGATACATTTACACTAGACTTATTTGATTATATTTTATATCAAGCATTTCTGGTAATTAATGTACATCTAAGTGTCATAGTTATTGCATGGGGGGGGGGTACAGAGGGGGGGGGGGGCTAGTAAAAGAATTGGGAGGAGGCAGGCTAGGCAGAGCTAATCAGCCTTAAGTATAAATCTCATCTACATATATCTGGATTTCATGGGGTACATCTTCTGCATGGGTCTTCTTCATATTCATCTCAATATATGGGATATTACAACTTACATGATTGGTCAGTGTCAAAGAACATACAATTACACAAGTAATCAAAAGTGGGCATCACCCCCATACTAGAGTAGATGATTGCTATTCTCTATAAAAACAGAGTTAAACTTGACTTGAGATACATTTACATTGGATTTCTTTGATTATACTTTATATTTTCTGGTAAATAATGTACAACTCAGTGCAATGGTTATTGCATGAGGAGGGGTGGGGTTAGTAACAGAATTGGGAGGGGGCAGAGTTAATCAGCCTTAAGTATAAATTCTTTCTTTTGGACTTCTTCATAGAGTATCTTCTGGGTCTTCTTAGTTATGTCAATATACTGTATATAGTTATTGTATGGGAGGGGGGGGGTAGTAACAGAATTCAGAGGGGTGGGAGGGGAACAAGTCAGCATTAAGTATCAATTTCATCTTCAGAGTTCTGGATTTCATAAGATACATCTTCTGGAGTCCTTCTGATTCATCTCCTGGTGCTATATCGACAATACCAGGTTGACCTCTGTTTGTAGAGAATGAACCATATACTGTTGTTGGGGAGATTCCCACTTTTGATCACGTACGTAATTGTTTGGTCTTGAACACTTACCTATCATGTTTATTGTAATATCCTATATATTGAGATGAATATGAGGAAGACCTAGAAGATGTACATGTTCCTTAGTAAATCCAGAATGAAGTATTATTAGATTTACACTTGAAGCTGATTAGTGCTGCCCCCTTCCAGTTTCTATTACTAGCCCCCCCCCCTCTCTCAACCTGCCTCTCATGCAATAACTATAAAACTGTGTCACTGGTCAGTATCGAGCGATGGTATATGCCATATAAGCCTGGTTTAGTTCAAATATCAAAGTATTACATCAACTAAAAAGTAGTTTAAGTCAATGAAAACTATAAATATTTTCTCAACTGACACCAGTGAGATGTATATTATTTACCTGAAATGTTTGATATTAAGTATTATCACATGACTAGGAGTGTCTAAGCATTTTGATTGGTCAATTGTGATGATGTATATTCCGTATCACATGACACGTGACTAATTTTTATGTGATACGGTGGGTATCACTACGGAGTCAATTGCAACGATGTGACGTCACTGATTATATCACTACTAGCTATGGAAAACAATATGACGTCATATATTTCACAAACAAGTATGAATACAACATCATATTGTTTCAAAGCGAAATCAAAAATTATAATAGTTACCAGGAGTACAGGGTACTGAACACAATAAAACTGACCAAATCAAAATGCTTCAAAATTCCTAGACATGTGATAAAATCGTCATCACACGTTTCAGCTTATGTGATATAGGAAATATTCCACTCGGGTAACAATTTATCACCAAGCTTCGCTTTCGTGGATGATACAGTATTACCTTTCGTGGAATATTTCCTGTATCACATGCTGAAATGTGTGATAACTGATATTATCCTACACTTAGTGTACTAAATGTATAATAACATTAAAAAAATAAATTTGATATTTATTGGCAAAATGAATAACTGGAGGATATCGTGATGATATACTCCGGACGGAGGATATCGTGACGATACACTCCGGAAAACCAAATATGCAGAGGATATTGTGACGATATACTCCGCTTGTTAATTTCCCGCCAAATTGACTCTATTTGGCATGAAATTCATTTTGCAATGATATTATACATTTAGTACACTCCTTGTAAGTGTAGGATAATAAGAACATCCTATGATTTTTTTCAGAATATCATTTTAATCTACTCGGTGATATTGATATATGCACTCATTCGCTTTGCTCTCTCGTGCAGATATCAATATCACCTCGTAGATAAAAATGATATTCCTCAAAATATAATAATAAAAGAAGTATAAATGATAAATATATATCGAAAATTCTACTTAAACCCTGTATTTATAGAGAATGGTAATCATCTGCTATTATGAAGGTGATGATGCCTACTTTTGATCACTTATGTAATTGTATGGTCTTTGACACCAATCATGTAAAATGTAGTACCTATATATTGAAATGAAAATGAAGAAGACCCAGAAGATGTAACCTTTGAAAATCCAGAACTATATAAATGAGAATTATACTAAGGCTGATTAGCTCTGCCCCCTCAAAATTCTGTTACTACCACCCCCCCCCCCCCTTCCCCATGCAACAACTTTTACACTTATATATACATTATTTACCAGAAATGCATGATTTTAAGTATATTCAAAGAACTTCAATATAAATGTATCTCAAAAGTCAAGTTAAACTCTGTCTTTTCAGAGAATGGTAATCATTTACTATTATGGTGGCGACGCCCACTTTTGATCACTTATGTAGTAGTATGGTCTTTGACACTGACCAATTATATATATTGCAATATCCTTTATGCTTAAACAAATGCTTGAACTTCTCTGGCGATTTTGGGTGTGTTAAAATATTCTTAAATCTGTTGATTTGAAAAATAATCCACATTCTATATTATGTACCTGTACAGGTTTTGCCAAAATTAAGGATTTTTCAATGAAAATTGTGGTTTCCATGGCAACCATGAGTGACAGGTGATTGAAACTTAACATACTACCTCAGCATGATCCAATCAACTCCCTATAAAAATTAGTATGATGATTGAAGACCAACTGAATGATTTATTCAATGATGATAAAGTACCCCCTGTAATTTTCCATTTTAGGGTCGAAAACGCCAATTTGACAACTTTTGCCCCGGATACGGCGCGTCAGACAAAAAATTTCTGAAGTATCACATAAAAATACATAAGTAACAAGTAATTTCAATTTGTTCACGAACTAATACATTTTTGGGTGCTAGCTTACTACCTAAATATATTTCCAATCATAGCGAGTCAGATGTGCCAGCATAATCACAATTAAACATCTTATTTCAGGTTTTCTGTGAGGCCGTCATAAAGGAATTATAGGCAGAATCGGATTGAGATAACCCGTTAGATAACAACCCTTGTTTAAATTCGTTTCACCTAAGGTATTCATTAGGGTCATATAATATCTTATTCTCAGAAGAGAGCTCATTCCCAGTAATGCATTAATGCAAATAGGTTCTGATTTTTTGATATGGATATCTACAATGACTACTTGGAAGATTTTGTTTTTTATTCATATCGTTGATACTGACTTAACAAACACAGCTTCATCTAGAAGAACTAAATGAAGGCTTATAATAAAAAGTGTTCCAATTCCAATATCGTTCAGAAGTATGCGGTTGATCGGACTCACAGATGCATATTCAGAATTTTATTAAATTGAAAGTCAAAATTCAATATCTTAGTTTGTTGTAGTCCTCAAACTAAATATTTCAAAACGTTGTTGCTTAAATAGCCTTGCCCCCGTAGGTATTTTTTACTTATCTGATCTTGAATTATTACCGATAAGTAAAAGAGACCGACTTGGGACAAGGCCTATATTGCTTTAACAATATCTAAAAAATGGCATATGGGTAGTTCTAGCGACCTTCCGCCTAAAGATTATTTCAAATCATGCAGTTTCTCACCATTTTAATTTTGGCCAAAATTGTCCCTTGGCCAAAGCTGGCTTAGGGACTGTGTTCAACCAGATCAGTTTAATTAATAAGAAGATCGTATGTTTTAGATAAGCATATCACTATACAACACCTTGGACATCACATACAGTAGGCTCTACAATGATAATGAACTTAATAGCACTTGTACTAGTGATAGGCTCAGTGACAGGTAAGAACACTCGTGACTTATCATTATGTTTATGGTAATACTATATCCCGTGTCAGGACTATAACCCAGAGAACATCATATTATGACTATAGTCATTATGGTTCTCATTGGATCTTCCCTTTTACAACAGATATGAGGATCGGCAGAAAATATATAACTTTGAAATCCTTCAAATCTAAGAGAAATCTAAGATAAGAATTATTACAACATTTCTGATCAGAGTTTGAAAAGGGTTAGATGCCTTTGTGTTGTAATTTGTTTTGAATCCCACTTAGTTTATATTTTAAAATATTTTTGTTAAAGATGCAGCACAACGTAAATACGATAAATATAGTTACCACGTACCACTACGTTTTTAGCATTTGTAAAAAATTGTTACCATGTTTGATAAATCTTTAAAATATCTTGAAATGTCAGAGATGGCACTGTTTATTAAACAAGTGAAAGTGAAAACGTTATGAGGTTAAATTTCTACAATTTTTACCATACGCCATACGAATTTTACCATGCACCACGCCATTTTTATGCCTCATACTAATTGGGCATATTTTTCCATTTTGCTATAAATTTAATTCAAGGACAAGTTATGAAGGAGAAGGTTGAAAATGAGCTCATTCCATTTGAACATTTCGTTGGAACAGATCGGGAAGGTGAAACTAAAACACTTGCTGAACGTATGCAGCATTGGTTTGTACCAGGTAACCATGAGGTTTCAGCTGCAGATTGATATAAAAATTCACACAAAACTAGTTATAGATACTCCCTTCACATTTAAATTATAAGGAAGTAACAAACAATTTGTGATAATTTAACCATTCATCCCGGTGCTTAAATCCGTCAATCAATCATTGTTAAGTTTTACATTACTTTTACATTTGTCAGTTAGGAATGATATTGGTTCTGATATTTTGAATTTACGTCATCTTCCAGGTATCTCTGTGGCTGTGATCAACAACTACCAGGTGGAATGGGCGGATGGTTATGGAGAAGCTCAAAATGGTACATGGTGACCCGAAAAAGCAAAACCCATAGAATAATATTAAATCCTACAAAGGCCAAGCTTTTTAAAAAAAGATAACTGAAAGTAGTGGTATCTATATGGTGAACCTTTTTAACGTTTCTCTTAAACCAGTCATCAAAACATTCTAAAAATTTTACACATCGTCAACTTAATAGTCATCTTTTGGATGGTAACATTATGATACTTTTTCTATATTGTTTTAGAAAACACACCAGACACTTCTTTTGTTCTTGGTATCATATGTTCGGAATGAAATGAAACATCTATCCGAACCGCATTGGAACAAAACGACATAAACACAACGTGTTTAGGTCTCTCAATATTGTAATTGTACAAAGGAAAGTTTGGTTGATTTAAAAAAAGTACATTGTTAATGAAATAAAAGGTTTATCTTAATTTTTATCTATTTTGGGGGGTTTTGTATACTTTTTGTTAAATCAACCCAAATTTCCATTGTATGACTATAATATTGAGAGGTCTAAGAAAATGTTGTATATGCTATTTTGTTCCAACAAGGTTCGGAAAGACATTTTATTTCATTCTCAAGAGTTGGTAGAAAGGAACAAAAAGCAATTGCACTAAAAACAAAAAATGTTTACAAAAACAGTTATATAGAATATATATAAATAATTTTTGCATTAAATTTTCGCCAATCAGTCAACATTACATAAAGGGCCGTGTTTTTTACAGAATGTTTTCAATAATTGGTTCAAGAGAAAAACATTGTTGAATTTAGTTCGCCGTATCGATACCTTTCCTTTCGGGGAATGATCGTACACAAATTGAAGTTTGACCTTGATAGGATTTAGTAAAACGAATTACGAGTCCTGATTTATTAGTCACCGACCCTATTTAAAAGTATAATTGTACGAGTAGTATAAATGTGCAATTCTGTCTCATTTTAAATGACCTCACTGGTATTGCTAGCTGTCAGCATAGAAATTAGTGTCACAAAAATCATCATTGGGTTTTCTAAACTTGATAGGTTATTCAACATTATTTCTGTCGCTATTTTAATATATAACTTTAAAATATTGTTCCAAATCAACATTTTGATAATCCAATTTTACATTATTTTAGGCGTACCAGCTACGGCTGATACCATTTACCAGGCGGGTACCATAAGCAGTTTTCTAAGCGCACTCACAGCTCTTAAATATGTGGAAAACGGAACACTAAATCTCGAAACTAATATCAATGATTATTTAACTTCAAACTGGAAGGTAACGCACATTCTTATCCCACTTTTCAAAATTGCTTACATATAACATTAAATTAGTGCATGTGTTAAAATCATAGTATATGTTTGTCTTTTTATAGATGTCATACAAAAAGAGAAGAGACAATAGAGTAAAACTGAAACATCTACTCAGTCACAGTGGGGCTGTTACTGTTGACGAATTCGATGGATATACACGAGGACAGACTCTTCCAACCTTACAACAGACGCTCTCTAAGTCAGGTCCAGCCAATAACCCTAAAGTGGAATTGATAGAGGATCTCCTCGATGTTATATTCAATGACCCCTTTACCCCTGGTACACAGGAGGATTACTCATCAGGAGGATTCGCAGCCCTCCAGCAGGTACTCGAGGATGTCACGGGACAATCATTCAGCACAATTGTTCAACAATTGGTAAGTATGTTTACGTTATGCACAGCTATTTTTGTAAAATCCTCAATCTCTGACTCTCATTTGGAAGATATTTCCCTCATATCCTTCATCATGATCTTATGCATAATGAAACGATATCAGATATATTTAGACCCACATCGCCTGAATCACTGTTCCACAGCTGGATGACTCTAACTGCAGTTATCGTCATTCAAGATGATTGTCGAAATGCTAAGCTAAACTTAGCTGAATCTTGATTCCAAAAGTTTCGCCATGGAAACTAATAAGACTTAGATTGTGAAAAAACAAATAAATGCCCGCCCAAACACCCGCAATATTAGAGAGTTTGAAAGAAAACGGCTTCACTTAGAACGGCTTACTAAAGTTGACGAGGACAACTTCAGCTAGAGAAATTCTAAGTGATGCTGTTTTCTTTAAAATTCACCCATATCGCGGTTGTTAGAGCATTTATCTGTGGTTGTTTCCAATCGTAGCTTTATTAGTTTGCATGGCGAAAGTTTTGGAATCCAGATTTAACTTAGTTTAGCTGAAATCGGAGGTTCGTCGAAAACGAAAGCATTTGTGATGTTTACTGTTTAGGTACTTGACAAGGCTGGTATGTCATCTAGTAGCTTTGCCATTAGAGACTACAATGACATCAATTGTGAAGTATAACGTATGCATTGTGGTTTAGGTACTTGACAAGGCCGGTATGTCATCTAGTAGCTTTGCCATTAGAGACTACAATGACATCAATTGTGAATTATAACTTATGCATTGTGGTTTAGGTACTTGACAAGGCTGGTATGTCATCTAGTAGCTTTGCCATTAGAGACTACAATGACATCAATGGTGTAGCATTTGGCTATCATTGCAACAGCTCAGAAGAAAGTGTCATTCCAGGTACACATTATATTTACTACAAAAGACATACTTGTAATACATTAAATCATTGATTATAATGGTACAGTTTACCAATTATATTCAAACCGAACCAAACTATTTGGCAACACTGCCTCTTATGTTGGACACAAAATTTAAAGTTTACTTGACAAATTACAGAACCAAGGTAGTTGAAACTTTCAATGAAAAAGGGAACAAATGAAAATATTTACATAAAAATTACTGAACCAAGGTAACTGGAACACATACCCAGAATCCGCAGCGCAGGGATTGTGGACAAATGTAGGAGATCTCGCAAAGTTAGTAATCAATGTGGCCAAAGGGAAGAGTGGTGATCCTGGTTCTATCCTAAGTAAGTGAAGAATATGTATGTTCAACTGATGTTGGGAAATATAAATTTTAATTTACAAAACAGGAATGGCAATTTTTCTACTGTCATGTGATATAATTCATTGTACATGTACTATAACGTCACTGTTTGTTAGAAGTTTTTTATCAGTTAGGTGTTTAACTCTCGAATATTTCCTATTTAAAGATACTCAGTCGACCAACGATATGCTTACCATTCAATTGAAAAATGGCCAAGGAAACCCAAGAGCTACAGAAGATGGCACGTTTGGCCTAGGGCCGGAGGTAGTAGATGGCCGAGCCTCGAGCAAATGGTTCTTCAATACTGGCTATAACGAGGGTTATTGTAGCGAGGTAATTGGAAATACAGATGGAAGAGGGTTGGTGATGATGTCAAATCTCGGCTGTGAACGCAGCCACTTTCTTTTAGGAGAGTTATTTCGCGCCGTTGCTGCAGCTTATAGATGGGAAGATGCTGAATCAGCTAAAATTGACTTTAACACAAGGTAAGCAAATCAGTGACCTGATAAAATACCATGACTAATTTTTCTAACACAGTTAAAAGAAATATTTGTTTCTCAGAAGATGAACAGGTTCACACATTTCATCGAGAAAAAAAACACGTCAAAGAAAGGGAAAGAAAAAATTATAAAGGGAACAAATCTAATATTGAATAATTTAGAGTAGACATTGGTTCTCCCCATAATTTATAACTTATTTATTTGTTTTAGGCTTCCGGCTAAGATTCCGTTAGAGAGCCCTCAACCATGGGAAGGACTGTATAAAGTGGAGCCTTATGACACCGGCATACCCGGTGTTGGGGTGATCCAGCCATTCCAGAGTGTATATGTCTCTGCCAATACTGTCCAGGTGGACCAAGCTGTGTGCATTGTCTATATGTACCCATGTGCTAACTTAGATAACGTGTAAGTGTTTGGCAAATATTTAATTATGCATGCAGATTAAACATAATCAAATAACATATTTTAAACATAACTGATGAAAAAACAACATTTGCGGAACACTTTGAAATTAAATAAGTAACGACCCTAGCAAGTTCCTACTACAATTCAACTATGTTAACTCAGGTCATCTTGATGACTCCGGGTTCAATTTCAATACGAATCATTGAATTTAGAACACTCTCTTTTATTATGGCCGTATCTGGCTTGTTATATTACAGCTCTCCGATGGCGCACTCGGGTCGTTACATATGTATTTAAACAAAACATTAAATCGTTGTTGGTACTTTCCTACATTAAGTATATGTACATATTAAGAACATGTCAAATCACTGTAGGTACTGCCCTTCATTTAGTATGAATATATCAAAAGACGATGTAACTTTTGACACCGTTGCAGGTACTGTCCTACAATTAGTATATGTATATACTAAAACAAGACGTTTAATCGTTGCAGGTACTGTCCTACAATTAGTATATGTATATACTAAAACACGACGTTTAATCGTTGCAGGTACTATCCTACAATAAGTATATGTATATACTAAAACACGACGTTTAATCGTTGCAGGTACTGTCCTACAATAAGTTTATGTATATACTAAAATAAGACGTTTAATCGTTGCAAGTACCGTTCTACAATAAGTATATGTATATACTAAAACTAGACGTTTAATCATTGCAGGTACTATCCTACAATAAATATATGTATATACTAAAACACGATGTTTAATCGTTGCAGGTGCTGTCCTACAATAAGTATATGTATATACTAAAACAAGACGTTTAATCGTTGCAGGTACTATCCTACAATAAGTATATGTATATACTAATACCCCACATTTAATCGTTGCAGGTACTACCCTACAATAAGTATATGTATATACTAAAACTAGACGTTTAATTGTTGCAGGTACGGTACTACAATAAGTATATGTATATACTAAAACAAGACGTTTAATCGTTGCAAGTACTGTTCTACAATTAGTATATGTATATACTAATACCCCACGTTTAATCGTTGCAGGTACTGTCCTACAATTAGTATATGTATACACTAATACCCCATGTTTAATCGTTGCAGGTTCTGTCCTACAATAAGTATATGTATATACTAATACCCCACGTTTAATCGTTGCAGGTTCTGTCCTACAATTAGTATATGTATATACTAAAACAAGACGTTTAATAGTTGCAGGTACTGTCCTGCAATTAGTATATGTATATACTAATACCCCACGTTTAATTGTTGCAGGTTCTGTCCTACAATACGTATATGTATATACTAAAACAAGACTTTAATAGTTGCAGGTACTGTCCTGCAATTAGTATATGTATATACTAATACCCCACGTTTAATTGTTGCAGATACTGTCCTACAATTAGTATATGTATATACTAATATCCCACGTTTAATAGTTGCAGGTACTGTCCTACAATTAGTATATGTATATACTAATACCCCACGTTTAATCGTTGCAGGTACTGTCCTACAATAAGTATATGTATATATTAAAACAAGACGTTTAACCGTTGCAGATACTGTCCTACAATAAGGATATGTATATACTAATAGCCCACGTTTAATCATTACAGGTACTGTCCTACAATTAGTATATGTATATACTTATACCCCACGTTTAATCATTACAGGTACTGTCCTACAATTAGTATATGTATATACTTATACCCCACGTTTAATCGTTGCAGATACTGTCCTACAATTAGTATATGTATTTACTAATACCCCACGTTTAATCTTTGCAGGTACTGTCCTGCAATAAGTATATGTATATATTAAAACAAGACGTTTAATCGTTGCAGGTACTGTCCTACAATTAGTATATGTATATACTAAAACAAGACGTTTAATCGTTGCAGGTACTGTCCTACAATTAGTATATGTATATATTAAAACAAGACGTTTAATCACTGCTGGTACTGTCCTACAATTAGTATATGTATATACTAAAACAAGACATTTAATCGTTGCAAGTACTGTCCTACAATTAGTATATTTATATACTTATACCCCACGTTTAATCTTTGCAGGTACTGTCCTACAATTAGTATATGTATATACTAAAACAAGATGTTTTATCGTTGCAGGTACTTTCCTGCAATAAGTATATGTTTAGACTACAACACAACGTTACTGTCCTACAATTAGTGTATGTTTATACTAAAACAAGACGTTTTATCGTGGCAGGTACTGTCCTGCAATAAGTATATGTTTATACTAAAACAAGACGTTTTATCATTGCAGGTACTGTCCTACAATTAGTATATGTTTATACTAAAAAAAGACGTTTAATTGTTGCAGGTACTGTCCTACAATTGGTATATGTATATACTTAAACAAGACGTTTAATCGTTGCAGGTACTGTCCTACAATAAGTATATGTATATACTAAAAGGAGACGTTTAATCGTTGCAGGTACTGTCCTACAATTAGTATATGTATATACTAAAACAAGACATTTAATCGTTGCAGGTACTGTCCTACAATTAGTATATGTATATACTAATACCCCACGTTTAATCGTTGCAGGTACTGTCCTACAATTAGTATATGTTTATACTAAAACAAGACGTTTAATTGTTGCAGGTACTGTCCTACAATAATTATATGTATATATTAAAACAAGACGTTTAATCACTGCAGGTACTGTCCTACAATAAGTATATGTATATACTAATACCCCACGTTTAATCGTTGCAGGTACTGTCCTACAATAAGTATATGTATATATTAAAACAAGACGTTTAACCGTTGCAGATACTGTCCTACAATTGGTATATGTATATACTAAAACACGACGTTTAATGGTTGCAGGTACTGTCCTACAATAAGTATATGTATATACTAAAACAAGACGTTTAATCATTGCAGGTACTGTCCTACAATTAGTATATGTATATACTAATACCCCACGTTTAATTGTTGCAGGTACTGTCCTACAATTAGTATATGTATATACTAAAACAAGACGTTTAATCGTTGCAGGTACTGTCCTACAATTGGTATATGTATATACTAAAACAAGACGTTTAATCGTTGCAGGTACTGTCCTACAATTAGTATATGTATATACTAAAACAAGACGTTTAATCGTTGCAGGTACTGTCCTACAATTAGTATATGTATATACTAATACCCCACGTTTAATCGTTGCAGGTACTGTCCTACAATAAGTATATGTATATATTAAAACAAGACGTTTAACCGTTGCAGATACTGTCCTACAATAAGGATATGTATATACTTGAAACCCCACGTTTAATCGTTACAGGTACTGTCCTACAATTAGTATATGTATATACTAAAACAATACATTAAATTGTTGCAGGTACTGTCCTACAATTGGTATATGTATATACTAAAACAAGACGTTTAATCGTTGCAGGTACTGTCCTACAATTAGTATAGGTATATACTAAAACAAGACGTTTTATCGTTGCAGGTACCGTCCTACAATTAGTATATGTATGTACTAAAACACGACGTTTTATCGTTGCAGGTACTGTCCTACAATAAGTATATGTATATACTAAAACGAGACGTTTAATCATTGCAGGTACTGTCCTACAATTAGTATATGTATATACTAATACCCCACGTTTAATTGTTGCAGGTACTGTCCTACAATTAGTATATGTATATACTAAAACAAGACGTTTAATCGTTGCAGGTACTGTCCTACAATAAGTATATGTATATACTAAAACGAGACGTTTAATCATTGCAGGTACTGTCCTACAATTAGTATATGTATATACTAATACCCCACGTTTAATTGTTGCAGGTACTGTCCTACAATTAGTATATGTTTATACTAAAACAAGACGTTTAATCGTTGCAGGTACTGTCCTACAATTGGTATATGTATATACTAAAACAAGACGTTTAGTTGCAGGTACTGTCCTACAATTAGTATATGTATATACTAATACCTCACGTTTAATCGTTGCAGGTACTGTCCTACAATAAGTATATCTATATACTAAAACGAGACATTTAACCGTTGCAGATACTGTCCTACAATAAGGATATGTATATACTAATAGCCCACGTTTAATCATTGCAGGTACTGTCCTAAAATTAGTATATATATACTTATACCCCACGTTTAATCGTTGCAGGTACTGTCCTACAATAAGTATATGTATATACTAAAACGAGACATTTAACCGTTGCAGATACTGTCCTACAATTAGGATATGTATATACTAATAGCCCACGTTTAATCGTTGCAGGTACTGTCCTAAAATTAGTATATGTATATACTTATACCCCACGTTTAATCGTTGCAGGTACTGTCCTACAATTAGTATATATATATATACTAATACCCCACGTTTAATCGTTGCAGGTTCTGTCCTACAATAAGTATATGTATATACTAATACCCCACGTTTAATCATTGCAGGTACTGTCCTGTAATTAGTATATACTAAAACTAGACGTTGAATCGTTGCAGGTACTGTCCTACAATTAGTACATGTATATACTAAAACGAGACGTTTAATCGTTGCAGGTACTGTCCTACAATTAGTATATTCCAAGATGTAGGAGACAAACTAGGGCAGCTCACATTTACACCAGATGGCGCCAGTGGTTATAAGGGAGAACTTTACTTAGGAGTGGTACCTATAGTCGATGTCGAAGTGAAGGTTTCACTGACCAGAATATGTAAGTTCAAACCTAGGATGAATTCATATTACAGTTTTACAGTATATGCAGTTAAACTTGTATATGTAATATTAAAGTGTGTTCATTCACAGTTTTTTGATCGAAATTGTGAAACGTGAAAACTATTTTAGTATATAATTCTAGAAAAATACTTGAACTATAAGTCCTTATTATAGTCAATTCTCAGTATTGCAATATAACATACAGTTGATTGTGTTTTCAGCTGCCTCAACCGGAACCTTTCCCACTGAAACAACTCCTAGAACTCCATCTGGCAATACAAGGAACACTCCACCTGCTGGCGTTTCAACAACAATGTCTATAGCTGGGTCGACTACAAGTCCCTTTACTGGCAGCACAGCATGTCGCTTCCTATCAAACAGTTTTATAGCAGTGCTGTGCTCATATCTTGCCTTTGTCTTTATATCTTTTAATTGCTAATATAATATTCTGGAAGCAATTACCGTAAATAAATCAGTTCAATACACCAGATGCGAAAAGAAATAATCTTGATTTATTTCATTAAAAATGTGGTTTTCAAAAGAGTTTATCAACTTTGAAAATTCAATTTTCTTTGAAATTGTGACTTTTAGGTCGGGGAGATTCCCCATAGACCCCGCCCATTGTGTAAAATTACAAAAAGTAAAATATCTGCTTGTGTTGGGCAGGTAATAATTTCTTTTACTGTACATATTTTAATTTGTATAAATATCAGAAACATAAGGATAATAAAGCGAACCATTAAAACTAATTATAATTCAAGTTTAAGGGAATTGTGTAATACCCTGCCATGTTATTTCCCCCAAATCAGCCACCTGGTGGCCAAAGTGGTAACTACCTACTCGCATCTGAGTTATTAGTAATAAATGGCAATTTTATATCGACCTGTGCATAATGATTATGAGACATGTATTTGTAAATTCAAATGTGTTTCAGAAAATATAGAATTGAGTCGATTTGGAATAAATGTGTGTTTCAATGAATTATTAAGGATCCTAAATTTGGATTCAGGTCAGGTCAGATCCGAGATGTCAATCTATTCATGTATGTACAGGGTGGGCCAAAAAACGCCACTTTTTTCAAGACACTACAAGACTTTTTTAGCTTTTGGAAGTATTCTTTCATTAATAGCGTAGATGGGGAAATGATCAGATATATCATAGATTAAAACACCACATAAATTAATTTTATTATCATTTGTAAATATGTTATCAATCAATGTTGCCGATGTTGAAGTTACACGTGTCGGTCTATAAATAAGTGGAGAGTGATTATATGATTGATTATATTGTTTGAGCATGTTGTTCAATTTTGAAAAGGTCAATATTAAAATCACCCATGATATAAGAAATTTTCTTTTCTCTTGAAATAGTAAATAGAAATCTTATATAAATAGCTGTCATTAAAATATTGCATGTATTTTCCATTATTAATTCCAAAGTGACAACATCACAACTATCATTATTAAAATTAAGATCATTTCTCTCAATAGCAGTAAGGGATTTATGAACATAAAGACAAACACCTCCACGTTTGCTTGTCCTTGATTTTAAAAACCCATTGTATGTCAAATAATTCTGAAATCTATGCTCGTCTTCATTAAAGAGCCGTGTTTCTGATAATACTATAACAGATACCTCATCAAGAGATGCAATCAAGTTATCCAACTTCCACTGATTCTTTGATAGACTTCTTATATTAGAATGGATAAGTGATATCTCAGTGGAATTATTTGAATTTAAAATATTATTTTTATTCAGTGATTTGTAATTTCATCTCTTAATAGAGGCATTTGTTGCGGAATCAAATTCAGGTGAGTAGTGTATGTTAAGGTTAACACTTAACATACACTACTCAGGTGTATCTTTTTCTATCAAATCAATATTCATGGGATTAAAAATCTTTTTTTCAAAATTGGGTAAAGCATCAATTGAATCCAATAATATCGTCCATTAATCCATTTGTTACATCATCATTAAATTGCTTTTTTAAAACGGATATTCAACACCATAACCCCGAAAATATTATAAAAAGTGTTGGAGTTGTATATTACTTCACACAAACCTATTTGGATACATGAAATGATTATATATTACTTGAATTTTTTCTCCATTAGAAGGTCAACCAATGGCAAATTATACATACCTTCTCATAGATGTGACGCCGACGATAAAACTGGTCAAATTAATTATTTTGAGTTATTTATTCGCTTTAAACATTTCACCGAATGTGTGTTTATATCGTAGCTACAAGTTGGTAAATCATTGAAGTATGATATACACGGATGAGATAATATAGATTGTTTAAACAAAAGTGCACAATTCTTCCATTGAAAACACAGAAGCGTGCACAATAGTTAAGCCCCAGTCACATTTGTAGTACGGCGGCCGTACGGCGACAGCAGATCAATTAAATCAGTGTATTTCTGCGGCGAGCGTAGAAAAACTACGCTCGCCTTGCGGTCTCCGTACGGCGTATCCAGTTTTTTACAGGCCGCAGGGTCGCCGTAGAAACTATAACTCGGAGTTATAATATTGATTCATTTCTGCGCTCCCCGTAGAAATCAACTGGATCAACAAGATTAAATTATTATTTGTCAATGTTTACGAACATTTTTCATTTGATAGTACATCCTAGCACTATAAATAACATTTATGAATTGTACTGATGTAAATAAAATGAAAATAAGTATTATTTATCAACAGAAATTTAATATTCGCCCTGCGGCTGCCGTAGGAAATGTGACTGCAAAAGTATGAGACCGCAGAAATTCTACGGCGAGCGTAGAAAAGCTACTGACCGCAGAAACGATAGACCGTACGGCGGCCGTGGCAAATGTGACTGGGGCTTTACATACGATGTGTATGACTGCATCCAATCATTTCGACTAGCCACAGTGTTATGTAATGAGTGTGGGCAATCAATTACTAATTTTTTCTTCAACGTGTATTGTCAAGATTTCAGTATGAATGAAAAATGCCTTGGTGTTCTTGTCTTGGATTGTGGTATTGGTTTTTAAATGGTGGGGGAAAGGGAGTATTAGACATTGTTCCTTTTCACGTTATATCATGTTTTTGGGATATATTGGATTTGTTTGTCTTATGACAGGTATACACTTAGGGTTTGCTTTTTCCTTGCTAAGTTCCATTACAGCTTTTGGTCCTTTTCCTGTGGCAATTGTGCATACATATCTATCAGAATTTATTGGCAGCCTTTGTACAAAATACTGTAATCATTAAATGTGAGGACCTTCATTCGATATTAATTCTTTACAGGACACACTTTGTTACATCAAAAATAGTAACACTCTGAAAAGAATTAATTGCTGTTCAGCAGAATGACTCATCTCAATGTAGTGCATTTATTGTGTGATTTCTCAGTGATTTAATAAAAATATTTGTTATATGTTATCTGCTTTGATGGTGTCTTTGATCCACTTATAGATACTTGGGGTCACTCTCGCATATACAACCGTAACTCGTCTGACCTGCAAGCATCCACCTTAAGCCAATCTTACACATGTAAGAACCACCGGAATCACCCTGAAATCATTGTATACATTTTTAGAGTTAAGGCATGTTTAAGCCTTGGTGGTTTCTTTAAATATGTCACGACCCAAGGTGTTGTGTTGTGTTATGTGTTGTGCAGTATGTGGGGGTGGATTAAATAATAAGGATTGAACGAAACATATAAGTCTGAGTTCAACAATAATCAATATTAGTATATTGTTTAGTGATAAGTCATTAAATACACTAACATGTCACATAACAATAAGAATGCATACAAGTACAACTCATGCAACCTCAATACTAATTAAGTCTTAAGTACATTACCTCGACTGATAGCTGGCAATTATCTCATAAAATAGGGTAAAAAAGAAACCATGTGTTATTGATAACTCACTCCAAAACAACCTTGTGTTTGTGACCTCTGTAGATATCCAAGATGGTGTCCAATTTATCAAACTAATTGTTAAATTAGATCCCTTAATTGATTCAGAGTCCAAATATCCACAAAGTCAGCACAGGAGCTGACGGCCTTTACCCAAGAGAGCCAGGAGCGAGACTGAGTTCAGCGGGACTGATTGTGAACATTTACTTATATACCCCTGCGACCCTTAGTGCAGCTTAAACAGAGGATCCAAGACACTGAAGCCACTGATTGGTTCACTTGAACACCAGAAGACTGAAGGGCAACCCAAAAAATCGACCATGACAAATTATGGAGCAATGATTTGCTGTGACTGAACCAAATGCTAGAATGCAGCTGGTGCTGAGAATATTCCATTGCAACACAATTCAAGAGGACTTAAAACAAGACCACATTGTGAAGTGATTGGTTGAAAAATACAATTGAAGGATGCCTACTGACTAAACGCCACCATCCACTTCGAAAACCAGAACTAAGACTAAATACCGATACATGATTGGTTGACAAATGACAATAATGCTTGACCACAACATGAAGACCCTCAGCCTTTATCTAAATGCAGAGATACATGTAACTGAAAAATTAAAAAAAACTAAAACCCAAATCTGTTACAAATACATCCCTTTTTAATACACTTTTTTTTAAATACAACACCGGTATGCTAAATAAATTAGATATGTTATTTTTATTTTATTTTATTTATTTCATTAAAACATAAAAACATTTTTACATATTCGTGGTCATGACACCTACATAGGTATATAATTGACCACATTTAAAATCATTAATCTAAAATTTTCAAGTGCTTGAAAGTTTAACACAACATGACACTAGGTGAACCATAATTTGTCTCATGAATTAAAAACATTGGTAAAAAATAATGTAAAATAAAGAGGATGGAATCACCTTACGTTTGCTGAATATCAAAATCAGTATTTTGAAAATGTGTCATCTTTAAAAAGACTTTTTAGTTTATAAATATTATTGGTAAGTTTAATAGTATTAGGAATTTTGTTCCAGATAAGTTCACCTTGTACTTTAAAACTGTATCTTAAATAATTGGTTTTGAATTTTGTAACATGAACTTGTTCATTCTGTCTAGTGTTGTGTTAATGAACACTATTGTTTTTTCAAAGAAGTCTATAAAAATGTCACTTGGAAAAGAATCGGGTCTGTTAATACATTTGTAAGTTAGTTGAAGAATATTAAGGTCATATATGTCCGTAAATTTTAGAATTTTAAATTGTTTAAAGAATGGCCCGGTATGTTCTCTGTTTCCACTGTAAGTATTAATTCTTAAAAAACGTTTTTGTAGTTGAAAAATTGAATTCGTTGCAGTTTTGCCTGCATTTCCCCAAGCACATATACAAGTTAAGCATTTTGTCACTACGTTGCATCATTGGATGGCCTTGTACACTAAGTATTGACAGAATGATTTACTTAACTCAATTAAATAGAAATTAAACTTACAGAGCACGTGTCTTTGTGGGTACCACCAGCACAGAATCCTG